GTCAGTCAGTCAGTCAGCCAGTAAGTCGGTCGATCGGTCTGTCAGTCAGTCAGTCATGATCAGTGGAAAGTCAGTCGCACAATAAATCAGCCAATGATGAATTAATCAACTTTTCGATGTAGTGGTACGTCTCGGACACTATTTACGTTCATTTACCCTCATTGCAGTACATTACTTTTACAATATCGTAGGGAAATTCATGATCTCGTATTCTTTTTTAAATGTTTTAAGAATATGTATAATTTAGATATTTTGGACTTTGTATCGTTTCAAACTTGCAACAAGCCTTTGAGAAAGACTGATTATCTAACACTCAATGTCCCGTTCAGTCGCACAGAATCTTTATAGAACTCATATTTTATACGGGTTTGTCGCTCATGGAATGAACTACCTCTTAACATTAGGGAGTCTAACACTTTGTCAGTCTTCCGCAAGAAATTGTTCGCATATTTTTACGATAAGTTCAGTGCTAATTTTTTATCATGATTATCTTATTTTTTAATATGAGTTTAGAGTAATTTTTAACTAGGTATACAATCATACAATGATACACTAAGGCGGCTTATATTAAGGAATCTTGGATTCTGTTTTAAGCTGTCCTCAAATTCATTGGACTGACTTGTTCAATGTAATGTAATTTGGAATTTGTATTAAAGATTAAAGATGAAAGATAGTTTTTTTCCAATCCTAACATTGTCTTGTCTTTCAGGAATCTGCTCGCCGTATTAGAAAGGTTTCAGGAGAAGCTAAACTTGAAATTGACATGGAAACTTAGTAGGGTCCCATCAGTTATGAATGTGCTATTTCCCTGGACAAACGGAGTGTCATGTTTACCACAAGGTAATGATTTTCAACAAAAAACTTAACTGTGAACTGGGCCGACCATGGTGAGAGTGCAGACGTATTCCTGCTAGTTCTGTTATACAAATTTTGTTTATGGTTTTGGTTACGTGGCAGCAAAGATAGAAGTTTATATAAGAAAGACTCAAAGAAAAGCCAGAAGGAGGACAGAACCAAAAAAATATAGAAAATTCATGTTCTCAGTTTTGATAGCAATTTGGAGAATCAAATTCGGGAATTAAACGTTTCTCTTGTATCCAGCCGTTCAGGGCCGCCTATATTACAGACTAATAATTGTTTTGAACCTTTGACAAAGCCGAGCTATATTTTACGAAAGCTTAAGAAAGTATAAAAAAGAAAAAATATTTCTTTATTCCATACTTTGTTTGATAATTACTAGTTAATATATCTGCGCTACATGTATTTCACTAATCCCAAGGGTGATTCATTGAATCTAATTCATATTTATGAGTATTTCGATTTGCAAATTTACAGTTAATTATGCATGCAACTTCTTTTCTCACCATGCCATCTTCCGAGAAAAAATGTCGCCGTTTAAGTCGTTCAAGCTACGGACGCAATATCTCAAAAGCTACAGGTTTACAAAGCTTAACTCAAAGGTAAACAGCATTTGGAAATCTTGCCGGTTATCAAATTCGCCAGCTTGTCCAGTTTTGTGGCGGAAAAGCGAGGGAATGTTGTTTCCAGTTGGAACAAGAAGCCGTCGTGCCTGTGATGTAAATCAAGTTGAACAGTCGTTACTCGCAACAAAGTTGAAGAGGTAAGACTTTATTCTTGATATCTGTTAATTTTTACTGAACAAAATTTTACAAACTATAAGTCCTATCTCAGTTTCATTCTTACCTGCCCTCTTGCAACTTCAGTAAGCGGTTGCGACTTTCAACTACATGGTTCTTGCACTTGGATTCTAAGGTTAGTTTAAATTCTAACCTTACAATATCTATGAACTTTGAGGAATTTTCCAGAGCCTTCGAATCTGAAAATATCCGAGATCTTTTCCAAGCAATTCAGTGCTGAAATACTGTTAAATTACCGTAATTTGTACACCTATCATTGTTCAAATGATGCAATATTGTAATAGATTCTTTCTAGCTCTGGGGTGAAATGAAAGTTTTCTTTGTTGTTGTTAAATGAAACGGCTTTGGGCAAGAGCATAATTTTTCAAGTTTGTTATCGGACGGAAAATAATTCTGAAGAACTTACGGACTTTTGTTGATCTACAGAGGGCTTGCTTTGATTTTGACCGTAACCCTAAGTGGGTATAGGGCCAGGNGGGGGGGGCTTGCTATGAAGGGTTTGAAAATTGTTTGGGTGGGAGGTAGGTTGGTGCAGGTCGACGTCATCGAAGCTTAAAGTGCTTATGAAGTAACAAGTAATTCCTGCTTATTTGAAAGGCTTTTCAAAGTAAAGAAGAATGGTGTTTTCCTTTTTGGAATATCTTTTTTCGTTTAAGAGATATTTACGTTTTTGTACGGAAAGTGATGACATCATAGGTGGTTCCACTAAAACAGCACAACACTCGCTCGAGAATAACTCTAGAAATATTAAAGCAGTGTTCTTTACATTTGGAGCCTTTTGAAAACGCTCCGATTCTAGTGTGGATAGGTGAAAACGGAGGCTTTTGAAAATGGCGCCGAGAAAAGTGTCATATACTGTCGTTTCCATTGGCGTTTTCGGGCGTTTTTTAGTGTGGACGATAGGCGAAAACGTATCAAAAAGTATGCGGTTTGATATATGAAAACTAATCAGTGTGGACAGGTGAAAACAAAACAACTGAAAAACGCAAGTGTGGTCGAAAATATTTTGCTTTGTTTTCGTCAGGGCGAAAACAGGTACTTTTAAAAACGCATTAGTGTTGTCTGGGCCTCAGTCAAACCTTAGGTACAAATGTAGGTAACTTGTTATTTTGTTGAGGCAATGTACTCGCTTGTATATTTTGTAAGGACTAACTAAATTGCCTGCTTTTCCTAAAACTACTACTTACAAGAAGTTGATTTACATTGCCTCATTAGGGTATTCTCTCCCTGTCCCCCTAAAGTCTTCACATTTCTTGGTTAGACCTTTCCTTTTCTTCCAGCTTTTTAAATTGAATTTGCTTAATAAGTTGAAGTGGATTTTTTGTAAATCGGAATGGAAAACTGTGTCATTTGAATGATTAATGAAACAAAATGCTTTACTAGTTGCAAATTTTATGATGTGCCTATTGGTTGCACTTTTTACAGAGGAAAAACATTTCCAGTTTTCGTCTTCAACTGCAGTTTTCTTGGAATCAATCTTGAGTTTTAGGAGGAACATATGTCGATATAATTC